TTTTTTTTTTTTGATCCTATGATGAAAGGAAGACACAAGGTTTCTTAATCCTAGGCACGTCTTACTTTCCCAAGAACATATAGAAACACTGTCCTTCTTAGATTACTGAAATAAGCCACAGCCACCTCTAAGGAGTTTTACTTTATTTTTAGTCAAAGAAGAAAAGTAGATCACATGCTGTTCATTCCTGAGAATTCTGGCTAACACCAGATCTTTTATATATATCTCTTCCTGGGGTAAAAACTACAACAAAATGAGAAGCTGGATAAGAAATATAGACCAAAAGAGGAGGCAGGAGAAGCGACAGCACTAAATACCAGGTGGCCTTTGGGACTTATTGGCAAACTTTGCTACTCTCCCCAGAGGCCTAGTGGTTCTTTAACAATGTCCTATTCTATTTTACATGCTCCTGTCAAAGATCCTGATAGAAGTAATTGCTTCAAAGGTAGGTTAGCAGGTATGTGAACCTATTTTCTGAAAAGGGCAGGAGTTGGTCTGGCAGGTGGCAGAATCTCATACCTTCAATTGCTTCCTGTCCAACAGCCACTCACCTTTTTCTCCTTCTTGCCGAAGCTGAGGCCAGGGGTCCCCTTCTCAACAACTATGCATGAGATGCCTTTGGGGCCTGGTCCTCCCGTTCGACACATGACCACGTAGATGTCTGACTCACCACCACCACTGATGAAGGCCTATGGGGTTGGAGAAGGCGCATGTAGGGATCAGGAATGCTAAGTTCTCAGAGCCTAATGTCTGGGAAAACCACTGAGGTCTTCCCAACAATAGGACACTAAAAGGAACAATGGCACAGAGAGACTGAGGAGGGGTAAAAGGTAGCTGCAGTAACTGGGGAACCCGGGGTTTATCGATGAGAGTATAAAAAGGACAGACAAAAGTGAATGAAAGTACCTAGAATCAGATCTGAAGACACAGAAAGAGTGAGAGGGAATAAAGGGAAACGGGTCAGAGGTGCTTCCTAAAACGTAAACATTCTGTGGGAATATTACCTCGTAAATGCAAAGGAACTAGCGGATGTCAGAAGGAAGGTGGGAATGATCTCCAAGTTGCTCTGAGAGGACAGCATGCCAGTACCTTGGAGCCATTGAGGATATAATGATCTCCTTGTCGTTTAGCCGAGGTCAAAAGAGATGCAGCATCACTCCCGCTTCCTGAAGCGGGTATCAAAAGGGAGCAGAGAGAGGGGTGAGAAAGTCAGGGAAGTCGAGGGAGCCCAACACAGTTTCACCTCCCAGGAAATCTTCCCTAGAGGCAAACAGCTCAGAGTGTGCTACTATAAAATCCAGATGGCCAAAGGAATTCTCTGTACTTTGTAAAAACTGCTGCGCCAATTGGATCACTGTCTGAGAGTACCGCAGCGAGCCTCTGCAAGGAGGTTCTGTTCTATAGCTTGCAGGGCCCCTGGCCTAAAGGCTTCTCGGTTCTGTGACATCAGGTCATGGGACTCTATTACGCTGCAACCAAAGTGCTGGCAAGTGGTTCTGTGTGTCAACAGGCTAGAAGGAGTGCTTGGTGACTCCACCTGAGTCACACCTCTTTCCCTGCTGTATGTCGCCTACAGTACGGCAAACCCACCTGGTTCAGTGAGGCAGTAGGAAGCAAACTTCTCCATGGTACAGAGCGGTGGGCAAAATTTGTGCCTCTGTTCCTCATTTCCAAAGCTATCAATTATCCAGGCACACATGCTGATAGGTACACCAAGAAGACAAGTCATTGACAGAAACAAAGCCAGAAAAGAAAAGGAAATTGGGGGGATGGAAGAGAGAACAAAGGGCAGGGCAGCAAAACAGGGTGAAGCAGAAGAGAGTGGGAAGGGGAAATCACAATTGAGAAAAGTCAACTTCAAAGGAAAGGACCGGATTAAAACATGTTTCTGGAATATGTACCATCCAGAGATACCCAGGGCCACGGTTTCTCACCTGGATGTTCGTTCTACTTCTAGCTAGGTTATATGGGCCCCTAAAAATCAGAGTTATAGGCACTTTCTATTACTTTCTCAAATCACTGGTGGTTCTATCTTTAGATTGAAGAAAAGGGTACGAGGACCCTGACCACTCACTCTACTGGAGAAATCTGCTGGTACCACCTCAATCTAGGACTGGGGAGAAGGCTGGCTGACCTAATTCCCTAAGGAATGCACAAGACAACACAACCAAGTCCAACAGGCAGCAGCAGACCTGGTAAGTACTCTTGAGTCTAGTTCCTCAAGGGCAATCAGCTTGAAACGATCAATCTTTTTCCTACGAATCTGAAATTTCCCAGTCAATCCATGTGAGCACTTCACTGTGCTTTCCAAGCTTGGGCACTCACTTGTGTATGCTTATATAGGCTGTGGTGCTGGTGCAGCCTGTAGCCAAGGCTTCAAAGATGACAGAGGTATCGAGCCGTGACAGTCCGGACCCGCCCACATCTGTTCGCACGTAAACCCCCCCAAAGCCTAGCAGGGCTGCCTTCCGCATCACGTCCACTGGGAACAGCTCCTACGTACAAAAGAGAGCAGCAGCATCAGTAACTGATCCAGAGATGGACTTTCCTTTAGATGGTTCACTGAGGGAAGTAGGATGTTTGCATTTGGGAGTGTAGGGATTCTCTTAACTTAATATGCCTGCTTGTCTCACAGTAGTATAAGTTGTGTTCTGTAAGAACTGTTTTTCTGGCATTAAAAAGTTTATTATCTATACAACTACCTTGGTTTTATGTCCAAATCTTTGTTCAATTTTTTAAAAAAAGATATCTACAAGATGATAAGGATACCTTCTACAAAACAAGTCCTCCATTATCAGTTCTCTCACTTGCAGGAAAAGCTGGTAAGTGACACTGATCAATTAGGACTATAAGGAGATGAAAATAAGGGTCACTGCACAAGGCATTTGTTGGACTATCTATCTACAAGGATAATGCCTACCTTCTGGTCCCACTCTGCCATATGTGGAGCCATCTCCCGAGCAGCAAAGTCAAAGGCCACTTTCTGAAATTCTTTCTGCTCTTCATTAAGTCCCATGGAAGCTGTGGGCAGGATTGAATATGTTCAGTTCTAGAACAGCGGTCAGGGAAGAGTACTGCGAAGAAGCACTGTGAGGCTGAGATGGTGGACCTATTATAGCATTTGCCAGACATAGTACAGCCTTTAACAGCAAGAGAATGGCATCGTCAATCATTAATCTGTTTCTGAGATGGAGAAGCGACAGTTCTAACACATACCCAGATCAACGTAGGACAGTATATGGGACTTTCCAGATGTCTCTTACCCTAGCCACTTACTAAAATACAGTTGCAGCCCTCGAAGTAGGGGTCACAATGCTAAAGAGCACTAAAGGAAAACTAGGGAGTCACACTTGACAATAATTACGTCAGTGCCTTCTAGTGATGCAAAGTCCTTCCAAGAGAACACAAGTGCAGGTGGCAGAGCCTGTTCTTCTAGGACAAACCTGGGCGTCAGTAATGCCTGGCAGTGTGAGCGAAGAGAAAACACTTCTGTCTGTGATCAGTACTCTCATTAAAATGGGAAACTCAGAAATGAATAGTGAGGATTAAAGATTAGGCTACCTTGAGAAGCTCAGAGCAGAAACCTCTGTTGGGTATTACTCTCAGGGATAAAGTTAGGGATAAACAATTAATGGTTCTCTGGCCATCGGATCATTTATTCACATACTCTTGCTGCTGTAGATCATAGCTCAAAGATCATTCACAAAAGAATATTTATTGAGTCTTTACTACGTAGCAGTGCTGGGGTTACAAAGATGAATATGGTCCATTCGCACCAAGAACAACATAAACAGATAATGCAAACAGAAGCACTACAGAATTTCAATCCTAGTAAAAGCTCCATAAATGTTAAGAGTTCTTTTGTAAATGGCTACTTCCTAAAACCAGTAGTTCAAAGAACTCAAGGTTTAAGAAATAAATTTGAATTGCATTCTAAATAAATAACAGGGAATAGTTTTATATAAATCACATGCATAAGTAAATACAACATAATTACTTTTAGACAGATAACAAATACAATCAATTCCAGAAAAGGGAATGGTTAACAAAAGGAGAGTATTACTTGGAGAAAAAAGTAGAAGAGGTAAGTTAAAAAGTAAATTATACCAAAAAAAGGCAAATTAAATACAGGAAAGCATGGTGACTAAGTAAAAATACCCAAGTTCCCCAAAGAAATACACTATACAAACAAAACAAACACCAGGCCTCATGAACTTTTGTCAGAGTTACTGACGGAGTTCGAGATAGCCAACATACTAAAAAGGTAAAGCTAAATAGAAAAGCAGCCCAAATGAAATGAGGAAAACCTTTACTGTACAGCAACTCAAGTAGAATATGAAAAGAAAAAAAGGAAGAACAAAAAAACCTCTAAATAATTCCTTATCTGCTTTGGTATCAACCAGTGTGACCTGGTTTACCAAATTCTGAACGCTAGAACAAGGCAGCACCTCTTGAAGGAGTTTTAGGACGCTGAGCAGAAAATAGTATTCTATACCCTAGTGTACCTTATAGATCTAGTGTCAATCTAAGGGATTTATTCTGCTATAAAGAAAACTGTTATTTATTTAAAATAAATAAAAAAGTGGTTAGGTGCTTGACAGAGAAGTCACAAACTGGCTGTAATCACTTAGTCCCGCTAGGTCCCCAACAGTCCCTATTAACATTCAAATTATTTGCCTCTTGCCTAAAAACATTCAGGTTTGTTATCTCCGATAGTTTCCCACTTCCTGCACGAGTTTCGACAATGTGTTATAGCTATAGGTGTTGAGTTATAAATCTATAAACGCGAGCAAATCTTCTGGTATTACCTTGGAGCTTTTCTTCATCTATCACCACCAGCACCCAGTTTTTTACATTCCCACTACCTTTATGATCTATTGATATGATTTTAAAAATCAATCAACCAACAAAAAGTCACAAGTTTCTGCAGTTCTCTAAGCATGCGAGGGTGACAGGACACAGAGGGGAGCCGGGCGAGGGGGGACGGGACAGATCGGGGAGACCGCGGACCCTCGCGGATGCCCCCGCACTCCCAGGGCTGGCCTTACGATCGATGCAGGAGGTCAAGCTCCGGTGGACGGTTTGGGCAGGAGCCTGGATCCCGCCGCGCAGGCAGCCGAGTCGCGCCCCGAGTCGCCGGCAGCCACTCGCGAGCATTGCAGCCGCTCCTTGCCCCAGTCGAGCTCTGGGCTCCCGCGTCCCCCGCTGCAGTCGTGTTTGGCCCACACCGCGGCCCCCGCCGCACCCTGGGGATGGTAGTCTACACACAGGCCTCTCCGCCCGGCTCCTAGGCAGGCGCCAAGGCGCCGGGACTACAACTCCCAGAGACCCCCGGGGCCGGCACGCCTGAGGCCTGTCTTCAACCCAGTGCAGCTCGCCTCTGTCGCTTCGGAGGGACGGAGTGGTGGGCCCTGCGTGGTGAGCGGATCAGAGGCGGCTCCACAACAAACTAAGGAGAGTTTAGGAGAAGGTTACGCGAAATGGAAATGGCGTAGATTACGGAGGGGAAGATTTGAGGGGCTTAAAGCACAGTCGTCTCTGTTCTTTGCAAAAGTCTGAGGCTTTCTAGGCTTCCTCTCGTTGCCTCCATCTTGCTCTGCGTAGGTTTTTTTGGTAGTAGTAGCTTTGATTCTCTTGGTTGATTCCAGAATCCTCTGCACTTCAGCCCCTTGCTGGAATACCATGCCGAGACCCCAGAAGAGGCTGGCTGGGGATGCTGGCCCAGGTGAGCTGCACCTAGGCTGCACAAAGGCAGCCCCATGAAAACATTTCTCTAGGGCCTGTTTAATACTGTTAATTTTCTACTCCGTGCTTGTGGGGAGAATCCTTCGTGATTTCTTTCTTATTCCATCATCCCTTATCGCCCTCTGTCATCTTTACTTTTACCACCAAGCTTTTACCCAGAGTCTCTTGTGCTTGTTTATTCATTGAAGTAACAGCTGTTTGTTAAGCACAAAGAATATTTGCAGTATGGGGTGGCATGTGCTAAGGTAAGGTTTCCCTGCTCTCAGGGTAAATGCAAACAGATTTAAGTGACAGGGTCCAGGAAACTGGATTGTTACGGGTAATCACAGGGAAGGCCTTGAGAAGGCCATGGAATTGGAGTCTAGCCTTGAAAAATGGGAAGGCTTTCCACAGGCAAAGCTTTAGTACTCAGAAAAAGTGATGTCATTTTTATATTCGCAAGGATGAATGGCATTCTAAGTAAATGCAGAGCAAGAACAAAACGATGGAAGATAGAGAAAGCTCTTTTGGGAATGGCAAGAGTTCCAGATTGACTACAGCACATTGTAGTTATTTAACACATGGCGTTGCAGTGTGCATGTTAACTCTTAGGGAACCATTAGAAAATTCAGCTAGCTAGGTATGGTGGGTTCAGAGCATTAGACATCCATAAATAATATTTAATGACAGTTGATGCTGGCACTTACTATAACGCCAAGCGTTGTTTAAGCCCTTTGTTTGTACTATCTCATTTAATCTTCAAAACAGCTCCAAGTAGGTGCTGCTCAGTTTCCTCACTGGAGAAAACAGCCTGAGCAAAGGCATAGAGAATGAGGGAAGGAAAGTATTTATTGCCTACTGCCAGGCCCTTTAATCCCACTGACGGGATAATCCAAAAGATCTGTAAGGTAGGCATTCTTGTCTAATTTTTATAAATAAGAAACTGAAATTTCTTTAACATTACATTAAGGTGCCACATACAGCTAGTAATTGATGGATCCAGGATTTGAGTCTGGGTCTGACTCTAAAGCATAAGCTTTTTCCACAGTGGAACATTACCTCTCAGCAAGCATGATAAATCTTTTCTTTTTGCTTCTCCCGTTGCAGACAAGAAGGGGCTATTGGGAAAACGTACCAAAACTGAGGATGCAGGTGAGGTATCAGCTAAGGTGGAGAACTCCAGCCCTCAGAAGATTTCAGCCTCTAAAAACTCTGTGAAGAAGCTAAGTAGCTACTGGCTGATGAAGTCAGAGCCAGAGAGCCGATTAGAGAAAGGTGTAGATGTGAAGGTGAGACCATGTACCTGTCTCCAGTCCCTTCACGCTGTTTTTTTAAATAAGTGAATATGGAACACCACAGGGTTTCAACACCAGCTTCTCATCTTTGAAGGGTGGGGAAAAGGTAAAAATTATTAAAATCAGCAGGATGTATTACAATCAACTATCTGTTTTGTGAATCCTCTATCTAGAGCAAGGGTCAGCAAACTTTTTCTTCAAAGGGCCAGACAGTAAATATTATAGGCTTGTGGGTCTTACGGTTGCAACTCTGCTCTTGTAGCAAGAAAGTGGCCCTAGGCAGTCTGTTAACAAACAGGTGTGGTTGTGTTGAAGTAAAACTTTACTTAGGAAATCAGGAATGGGGCTAGATTTGGCCTGATAATTTGCCATCCTCAATCTTAGATTGCCTTTCTCTTAACACTTTCCATGCTTCTAGGTGTCTCCCTGCCAATGGTTGGTACACATTAAGGGAATAAATGTAAACCAATTTTAATATAGTCTGGGGAAAATATAAGTAGAAATATTACATAAGAAATATACAATACTTTAACAAGTGAAAAGCATGTAACCAGAAGATTGCTTTATCAATCTGGATTATCCATTCAACTAATCCTCTTAATTGGCAAGGATAATAAGATAACAAGGCTTACTTGTATTCATCCAACAGAAATGGCTCAGTGGAACTGCTTCCCAGTGAACTACACATACTTCCACTGTAGCCAGTAGCACCTCTCAATGTAGGGGAAGGAATTGTCTGCTTCCATATATGCTTACCAGCTGGCTAAGGATTGTTTAATGAATACTTTATTTCTTCTTGCCTAGTTTGGCATTGAGGATCTCAAAGCACAGCCTAAGCAGACAACATGCTGGGATGGTGTTCGCAACTACCAGGTAAGAGGGTTAGGAACAGGACCCTGAGACCCAAGGGATGTGCCTGCCTCCTCCTTACGACTTATTTAATAGCAGAACCTTTTGGCCAAGATTGCCTTTTCCCAGAATGTAAACCTGAAAATATATTTAAAAAAACATCTTAATTACTCTGACTACATGAAATTTGCAGTTGGGCTGTGTTCTGCCAGTGTCCTGGTATAAGTCTGGGTATCTTGGAAAAGGGGAACAACTTTCCTATGAATTGAAGAGAAGATGCAAAAAAGAAAAACCTATCTAATGAAAGCAGACTTGATTTCTGCTAAGAGGCTAGTACTTTCCAGCTGGTGAGGAGGATCATTCTTGTGTCTTTTCCTCTGGGATAGGCTCGGAACTTCCTCAGGGCCATGAAGCTGGAAGAAGAAGCTTTCTTCTACCATAGCAACTGCAAAGAGCCAGGCATCGCAGGACTTATGAAGGTTAGTTAGGCAGGTTTTGATCTGAATCCCTTTCCCTCTAGAGACTGACTCATGTAGTTATAAAGTGGTACGGCTTAAGTGGGTAACAAAAAAGAAGTACTCCCCTCCCTATACCCCACCCCGTCGTAGGACCAGGGAAAAACTGCCCTGGTCCCTTCCTGTACGACAAGGACTCAAACAGGCCTTCATTTCAGGTCCAGCTAGCACAGACCTACCTCCCCCTCTAAGCCTTGGTCGCATTCAAAAACATGCCTGATGGTAGATCTTCCAAGCTAAGAATTTTCAGGATAAAATTAACTATACAGGTAGAAAAAAACCAATGATACCAGTAATAACTTTTACCATTTGGTTTTAGATTGTGCTTCTAAGACTTGTAAAAACAGGGTTGATTTTCCTAACTGTGCTTGCCTTAGACTGTGTATTATCTCCATATATCTATATATCTGAGCCCTCATTGGCTCTGTGGGTAAGAATGTGCAGGGTGAGAAATGAAAGTTAGAGGTGGATTAAAGATTGGCTGTGGAGCTGACTGTAGGTACATGATTGGAGACCTCGGTTTTGGTTTCAGATTGTGAAGGAGGCTTACCCAGACCACACACAGTTTGAGAAAAACAATCCCCATTATGATCCATCCAGCAAAGAGGACAACCCCAAATGGTCCATGGTAAGACTATTCTTCCTGTTTCATGAGAGGGGAAGGATGGACAAAGGGAGGTAGAGGGTCTGGTATACCTCCTAGCTCTTACTCAGATGAGGTTACACTAACTTTGGAGGTAAGAACAGAACACTGGCAACCCTGCACAGGAACCTCCTGCAAGCAGTTAAAAACCCAGTGGGCAGAGTCTGGCTGGACATGTCTTTCTGTCATGTACACTGTTGTCCCATAGGTGGATGTACAGTTTGTTCGGATGATGAAGCGTTTCATCCCCCTGGCTGAGCTCAAAACCTATCATCAAGCTCACAAAGCTACTGGTGGCCCCTTAAAAAATATGACTCTTTTCACTCGCCAGAGACTGTCAATTCAGCCCCTGACCCAAGGTAAGAGTGGGTCCTCTACCTCATCACCCACACACTAGAATGACCCCATGAATTCCCATTTACTACCTGACTAAATATGAGCATGGTATTTTAACCTGAGTCAGTATCTTCACCTGTAATATCCATAAGGGAGGGGATATTCCCAAGTACCCATTACTGTGTACCCAGTACTCAACAGTGCCTGGCCCCTGGTAAGAAACTCCATAGGTTTTGAAGGATTGACTGCCTGCCTCGGTGACATGTAAAGTACCTGTGCCTGGCATAACTTCCCTGTTCAAGAGGAGACATAGACCTAATTCTTCCTTCCCTTCTTTTTTCCCCTTTTTGGTAGAAGAGTTTGATTTTATTTTGAGCCTGGAGGAAAAGGAACCAAGTTAACTGAGACACTGTTGCTGGAATGGGCAAGACATTACTTCAAAGAAGTCAAGCTTTTTTAAGACAAAAGAAGGTGTGAGGCGGCTTGCTTGTTATGTTTACCTGGCCTTGTATACATAGGTGGGTTTGTGTACTTTTTTCAATAAAACATTAACATCAAAGTTGAAAGCTTTTCTTCTAAAACCGCATGGAGTGCAATGGAATATTCCACCACAGATGTCTTCCCTCAGGCTGGCTCCTTCTGCCGCACCACAAGATGCAGGGCCATACATAGCAGGATGTAGGGCTGAGACTCAGTCTGGCAACACTGAGTCTTTCTCCACCAGTCTCCCTCACCGACCCCTGAAGTCACAAGAGGTTTAAACCATCCTATGAGCAGTTTTCAGGACAAGTTGCCAGATAGGGGTAAAAACTGAATTCACTTCTCAGCCATATACGTGACTAAAACAGGTGGGTAATAAAGTACTCATCATTGGTCACCAGGGATTGAACACTGAGAGTACAGGTGCTGTCCTGGGAGTCAGGGCAGGTGTCTCTCTTTCCCTGATGTCAGAGGTGGGGTAGTGTAGTTAGGAGACCACAGAACCTGGTGGACCAGGGGCACAATGCCCCCAAAGCCACAGGGGCTTCCTTTAATCAGAGACCATTAAAACAAGTGTTCTTTGAAAATACAGCCATTGAAAAGACGACACGTTAAGAAACATGTAAACACTGCAGCTGCTTAATTACAAGTTGCACTGCTTGGTTTAGTACCTATGCGCTCCCAGGTTTAGGGACCTTGAGGGTGGGGACAGCGGCCTCCCCTCACTTTCACAGTTGGACAGAGAAGGTGAGAATGGGGAGAGTGTAAAAGAAAACAGAAGACCTGGCTTGTGCGCCTGAGAGAATCAAAGCAAATTCTATCTTCTAGTTCTCCCAGAAGAAAGGTTTAAGCTGTTAGGGAAGTTGGAAAATGAATTTGTGTTGTCAGTTGGGAGGCCGAGGAATTGACAAATGCTTCTAGTTAGAATACCAGCCATTAAAAGGAGGCACACCAGAGCCTAATCTCATGCTCTGAAAAAGGCAAGGAACCCAGAACCTGCCTCCTTCATACACGTAAGCCCCAACCTTGATAATCCGAGGGCAGCTGGATGGGTGATCCTGTTCAATGGGGATTGTGTGTCGCACCTGAACTCGGGGTCTAGCATGGGGGAAACCACCTACCTTCCTCAGTTCTGCCCCCAGTCAACCGCACGTCATCCCAAATGCCTTTCCCTCCAGTCTCAGCTCTGATCCATGAACCCTGCCCAAAGGCCCAAGACTGCAGATTTCTGAGGAAAAGAAGATTCCCGTTTCCCACACTAACTGAAAAGTGACACAGGAACCAGCGCCTCTACCTTCCAAATTACTAAGAATCCAGACGGCCAAATATTGTATTAGTTGGCCAGGGTGCTCTGCTTGGTCTTATAAAGGGAAGGGAGGCCAATAGGAGAGTAATTCCTGTCATTTCCAGATGAGGCAGAAAAGGACAATAAACACCTTTCCTACTACAGGCCTGAGCACAGAGCAAGGGGGAGGACTGCCCTCTTTTCTAGCATGACAAGATATCCACGGGAGTTTTTACATATGTGTTTTTAAACAAAAAATACCAATGGTCCTAAACCTGGGTCAGTTGGCGAGGATGAAGATGTAATTTGGCAAGCAGAATTATTCTCAAGTTGTGGCAGCAGAGTCTTCTGCTGAGGCCCTCATCGTCCCCCCTTAACACATAGGGAGAGGGCTGAATGGGCTCAGGGCGGTAGTAAGAACAAAATTTCCAAGTGTTTAAAACCAAGCCCCGATTCCCAGAAACTAAGTGGAAGGCGAGGAGAGACGAGGTCCACTCTCAGGGAGGCAAAGGGGTCAAGGCCCCTTCCTGGGATCTCTTCTTAAAGGCAACAGACCCTCTTGCTGAGGGCTTGTTGGGCACATAGAGCAACACCCTAGAACAACCCAGACCTCAGGGTGGCCAGTGGAGTCACGTGATGAAGGCAGACGGTTGCCATGCATTGATCTTCCTCAGAGGGCCGGGCTCAGCCTCCTGGGTTCAACACTGCTGCCATCCATGCATGACACTGACCATGCATGGGCTTCTCTGTGCCCAAGGCCTTTCCACAGGCTTCTCTTCCAGGATGTTTCTGACAATCCAGAGAAGATGGAGAAGGGAGGTGTCTGGGTCCCAGCAGTGAGAGGCCAGGAAGAAGGTGGCCTATGGAAACTTCAGAGCACCACATCCGAGACTCCCAAAGAGGTAGCTTCCTGATCTTGAGTCTTACCCCTGCCATTTGGGATGGAGCAGGCCCAACTCCTGCCACTACCTCAGGGACAGTAGAGGGGAGTACAACACATGACCACCCAGGCTCTGTTGGCAGCTCAGAATCCCAGGGACACGCTCAGGTCCTATATACCAGGAAGCTCAGGGAGCCCAGAGCCAAGGGTGTGTGCTGTCTGCTCTCCTATAAGACATGAAGCAGCCCAGCAAGAAGGGCTGTGACAGAAGGCTCTTTATCCCCGCCGAGAGAGACTAGCTTCCAGGATGCTACCTCTCCCTATCCCCACATCAGCCACAGAATCCCAAGGAGACTGCTTCCCAACCCAAGCCCCTTAGGTTCTTCAGAAAAAAGAATTTAAGTCAAAAACATGATTTGTTTTCAGGTTGCAAGTAACGGGTCAGCTGAGCCTCACATGGCCCTCCCCCCAACCCGCCGCTGGTGTTTGGTGGATGGGGGTGCCGTGGTGGAAGCCCAGCAGCTTCTTGGCCCTGGGGGCCTACTGCCTGCAGTTGTTGTCAGACAGCTGGCTGGGGGTCCGCACCTCACCCAGGGAGGTTGTGCCTTCGAAGCGCTGGGAAGCGATGGCTGCCTGGTGGGACATGCTCTTCCGTACGATGTCACCTTTCCGCCATAACACCACTTCCTGTAGAATTGGGGGAGGGGGCAACAGGACACTGAGAGGGAGGTGCGGGAATGGGCATCCCAGGGGCTCCCAGCTTTGTCCTGGGGAATCTTGGGCAAAAGTCTCATCTGCTTATCTCTATCAAAGGCAGCAGCTGCCAGTACCTCCCGGTCCCTGGTGTGGGCCAGAAGAGCAGGTGTCGCAGAAATTCGCCCTGAGACAGCAAACTCCAGGTACCAATGGGGACGTTCACTCTTGCTGTGGGATGCTGGGCAATCTAATGTTTCCACCTCTTGGTACAATAACAAGAGGCCTAGAGCCTTAGAAACTCTCTCCCCTGTACCATTCTTCCACAGGAATGTCTGCCTTCCGGTTCTGTCCCTACAGCATCCAGGAGCCCCGAGGAGATGCCTGTGCCTTACCTGCTGCTTGAAGTAGCGCCGCTCCTCCTCGTCTATCAGCACCAGGTTGAGGTAATAGCGCACGGAGAACTTCTTGTTGATGTCCCGCATGGTGGGCGTGAGCTCGTACCCCGCCAGGAAGAGCCGGATCGGGATGGACTCTCCTGTGAGGGGTGAGGCAGGAATCAGAGCTAAGAGCAAAGTGACCCACTTGGCCTTAACACCAAGTCAGTCTCTGGCAACAGCAGAGATCCTACCCTGAGTGTGGCACTAAAGGAAATGCTTTTGGGAAGTTGCACTCTGTTGCCCAGCAGTTTGCTAAGGCAAAAATGTTGACTCTCAAATTCCATTATAGGTCTTGTTGCAGCTTCTGAATGTCCTCTCCAGAACAGCAATGAGGAGCAGATGAGTGGGAACAGCACGGAAATATGACTCTTAAACATCACTTGCTTACATGCAGTGTGTCTACTTATTGGGCTTTCAAGAGGCAGCAGTCAAAGCCTAGCTAACTCACCATGTCCCCTACCAGTTTCAATGCCACTGCCCTCCATCCCAATTAGTGTATGCCCCCAAAATACATCCCTACTCTAATATGGATTGACAGGTGGTGTGGTGGTCTGGAAAACAAGATCCTGATTTTGGCCCATTCTCCATTGACCAATTGTATGACTTCTGGGAGTGAGTCTTGCTTTCTCTGGACCCTGACCTTCTCATGTGGAAGGTTATAGAATTAGGCTGTGTAATATTTTAGGTCCCTTCCAGCTCTAACATCTTGTCTTTCCTAGTATAAATGGAACAAACTTAGAGCAGTAATTCTACTGGGAAAGGCCAAAGCTATAATGTAGTCTAAAGCTAAATATAAGTGATCTTTTAATTATCTGCTGTTTTGTATTATTTCTCAGTGCCCCATTTCATTAGAGGAAAAATGACCGTTGGCTCTACTTGTACAGCTGGCAAAAAAATGGGACATCAGAAAGTCAGGAGAACCTAGCCCCAACCTTCCAAGGGCCTCACACGGTGACACCCAGGAATCTGCTGAGAGCGTCCCTGGTGTCCCCACTGTGACACTGCTCCTTCCACATGGAACAGACTGTGGGAACAGATGGAAGAACACCTTGGGAGCACCAATCACTTCGAAGTGAAAAGAGACATTCTTCTTCACCGATTGCTACAGAGCCAGTGAAGAATATAAATGACCGCTCCTTCCAAACAATCACACAGATTCGCTAAATAACAAAGCACTCTCAACTCCACTCATCCCAGAGGTAATGTTAGCTCCATGGGGGTGGGGGAGGACCGCTTCCATTGAGTTCCCAGTGCTAGCTGCAGAACCTGGTAATATTGGCCAGAGTATCTAGTAGTGCTCTTTGATAGTTGCTGAATGAATTAAGAGAGCAAATAATTTTACCAGAGCTCAAGTAACTAAGTGACAAAAATGACTACTTGCTCCTTAGCCCCAAAGAATGTCAGAATGTTAATAAGGAAAAAGTAGTAAAATGTTCAAACTGTATCTGCTAAACCAGTACTACTGAAACATTTTTTGTTTTTTAACAGACATAACTCTTGAGATTAAATCCTTTTCTTTTGTGGAGACAGGGTCTCAATCTGTTGCCAGGGTAGAGTACAGTGGTGTCATCATAGCCCACTGCAACCTCTAAGTCCTGGGCTCAAGGGATCCTCCAGCCTCAGCCTCCCGAGTAGCTGGGCCTACTCATGCCACCACATCCAGCTAATTCTTCTATTTTTTGTAGAGATGGGGTCTTACCACATTGCTCAGGCTAGCCTCGAACTCCTGGCCTCAAGCAATCCTCCTGCCTCAGCCTCCCAAAGTGCTAGGATTACAGGTGTGACCAC